AGCCTCCCTTTTACAGGGGTGTCAAACTGGCGGCCCTCCAGTTGTTGTGAAACTACAAGTTCCATCATGCCTCTGCCTTTGGGAGTCATGCTTGTAACTGTCAATCTTGCAATGCCTCATGGGACTTGTAGTTTGGCAATCTCCTGGATTGTAAGCTCCAAGGAGCAGGGCCCTCTAGTCCCTCTTGTATTGAACTGTACTGTCTCCCGTTATATTGTAAAATCGCTGAGCAAAACTGTTGGCGCTATATAAATCCTATTTTAACAAAAAACCACCTCCTAAATAAATGTGATAAACAATAACCCTTAACACAAACAACACCTTCCCCTGAAGGTGTAACAGATTTATATATGTAAAAGTGTTATAAACAAACTTTAAATAAAAACTGTGAAGTCCATCAATCAGTCCATCAAACAGTTATTAACTCTCACTATCCTATAATATCAAAGTTCAAGATGTTCAGAAATTCTTCTAACGATCTCCCATGTGCATGTACCAACATTTCAGAAAACACAATCATAAGGGCTTATTATTAAGCCAATGACGAAACGCGTCAAGGGAAGTGACGTCAAGACGCACACAGGAACCGGAAGTTGACCGGTGGCCATTTTGGAAAATGGATGCGAATGATCTGGAGCACCTGGACGTTCTTCCTGGATGGCTGTGAGGCTGTGAGGTTTCTATTATGAGTGATTACGTGCATAAAGGCTTGTTTTGATGTAAGCAGTTCAAATAAAGGTCATTTGATTTTACTATTGGCGGTATTACACTATTGTGTTCCTTATGTTTTGTCCCTGGATGGAGTAAAGTGCCTGGAAAACAGTGGGATCAGCAATCCAGGGAGGATTGTGGAGATCATTCATCCTGAGAAAGCTGTTGGATTGATATAAGCATGTGTTTTCTGAAATGTTGGTACATGCACATGGGAGATCGTTAGAAGAATTTCTGAACATCTTGAACTTTGATATTATAGGATAGTGAGAGTTAATAACTGTTTGATGGACTGATTGATGGACTTCACAGTTTTTATTTAAAGTTTGTTTATAACACTTTTACATATATAAAGCTATATAAATCCTGTATAATAATAATAATAACAGCTGGAGAGCCGCCAGTTTGACACCTGTGCTAGGTTAGATCACAGCAGGAAAAAGGGATTTGGAGGATTCTGAGTGCAATAGAAAGTTGTTTCTTTTTAATGATGGATAAATACTTGAATAGAATTTTTTCTTTAGTTTAGTCTCATTTTAATATTACTTTTTTCACATGAGAATATTATCATTGATTATATAGCTGTAGGACAAAAGAGGGTATAAACCAACATACTAAAAAATAACCATCCGCTCACAGTGGAGGTGAATTTGTAAAATAGACTTATAATTAATAGAGATGAGCGAATTATTCAAAAAAATTCGATTCGGCTGATTCGCCGAATTTGAGGAAGAAATTCGATTCGATGCGAATTTATTTCGCTGCGAATTTAACTTACAAAAAGGGTTTTCTAGGCTTCAGAGAGCCTTTATATTAGTGCAGAACACTGTACCTTTAATTTAAATGCCCTTGGAGATGAGGAAGGAGAAGGAGAAGGAGAAGGGATGAGAAGAAGGAGAAGGATGAGATGAGAAGAAGGAGAAGGAGAAGGATGAGAAGAAGGAGAAGGATGAAGAAGAGAAGGATAAGAAGGATGAGAAGAAGGAAGAAGGATGAGAAGAAGGAGAAGGAGATGAGAAGAAGAAGGATGAGAAGAAGGAGAAGGATGATGAGAAGGAGAAGAAGGAGAAGGATGAGAAGAAGAGAAGAAAGAAGATGAGAAGAAGGAGAGAGGATGAGAAGAAGGATGAGAAGAGAGATGAGAAGAAGAAGAAGATGAGAAGAAGGAGAAGGATGAGAAGAAGGAAAGGATGAGAAGAAGAAGAAGATGAGAAGAAGAAGGATGAAGAAGAATGAAGAAGAAGAAGGATGAGAAGAAGAAGAAGGATGAGAAGAAGAAGAAGGATGAGAAGAAGGAGAAGGATGAGAAGAAGGAAGAAGGATGAGAAGAAGAAGGGATGAGAAGAAGAAGAAGGAAGAAGAAGGAGAAGGAGAAGAAGAAGAAGGATGAGAAGAAGAAGAAGGATGAGAAGAAGGAGAATTCCAAAGCCGGCAAGGAAAGGATGTATCTGCAGAGCTCCGCTTATTTCTTAGCGGAGCTCTGCAGATACACTTAGCGGAATAAATGGAAACAAATAGATACAATGTTTCAACCGCTGTATGGATCTGCAGAGCTACGCTAAGTGTATCTGCAGAGCTCCGCTATTTCTGACAGTTCTCTGACATTCACTCCATACAGCGGTTGAAACATTGTATCTATTTGTTTCCATAAATGGAAACAAATAGATACAATGTTTCAACCGCTGTATGGTGTGAATGTCAGAGAACAGAAATAGGCTATTTCTGACAGTTCTCTGACATTCACTCCATTGCGGTTGAAACATTGTATCTATTTGTTTCCATAAATAAACAAATAGATACAATGTTTCAACCGCTGTATGGAGTGAATGTCAGAGAACTGTCAGAAATAGAGGAGCTCTGCAGAAGCACTTTTTGCCGGCTTGGAATTCTTCTTAAGAAGAGAAAGAAGAATGAAAAGAAGAAGAAGAATGAAGAATGAAAAGAAGAATGAAAGAAGAAATGAAAAAGAAGATGAAAAGAATGAAAAGAATGAAAAGAGAATGAGAAGAATGAAAAGATTCTTCTTTTCTTCTTCTTTTCATTCTTCTTTTCATTCTTCTTCTTCTTGAAACATTCTTCTTCTTTTTTCATTCTTCTTTTCATTCTTCTTTTCATTCTTCTCATTCATGAAAAGTTCATTTACAAAAGTTTTCATTCTTCTTCTCATTCTTCTTTTCATTCTTCTTCTTCTTTTCATTCTTCTTTTCATTCTTCTTTCTTCTTTTCTCTTCTTCATTCTTCTTTTCATTTTCATTCTTCTCTTCTTCTTCTTCTTCTTTTCATTCTTCTTCTCATTCTTTTTTCATTTTCAGAAAAGAAGAATGAGAAGAATGAAAAGAAGAAAAGAAGAAGAAGAAAAGAAGAATGAGAAGAAGAAGAAGAATGAAAAGAAGAATGAAAAGAAGAATGAGAAGAAGAATGAAGAATGAAAAAGAATGAAAAGAAGAATGAGAAGAATGAAAAAGAAGAAGAAAGAATGAAAAGAATAATGAAAATAAGAAGAAGAAGAATGAAAAAGAAGAAGAAGAAAATGAAGAAGAAGAAGAAGAATGAAAAGAATGAAAAGAAGAAGAAGAAGAAGAATGAAAAGAAGAATGAAAAAGAAGAAGAAGAATGAAAAGAAAAATCTTTTCAATGAAAAGAAGAATGAAAAGAAGAATGAGAAGAATGAAAAGATTCTTCTACTTCTTCTTCTTCTTCTTCTTCTTCATTCTTCTTCTCTTTTCATTCATTCTTCTTTTCATTTTCTTTTCATTCTCATTCTCTTCTTCTTTTTCATTCTTCTTCTTTCATTCTTCTTTTCATTCTTCTTTCTTCTTTTCATTCTTCTTTTCATTCTTCTTCTCATTCTTCTTTTCATGAAGAAGAAAAGAAAAGAATGAAAAGAAGAATGAAAAGAAGAATGAAAAGAAGAATGAGAAGAAGAATGAAAAGAAGAATGAATGAAGAAGAATGAGAAGAATGAAAAAAGAAGAATGAAAAGAATGAAAAGAAAAGAAGAATGAAAAGAAGAAGAAGAAGAAGAAAAAGAAGAAAAGAAGAATGAAAAGAAGAATGAAAAATGAAAAGAAGAAGAAGAATGAAAAGAAGAAGAAGAAGAATGAAAAGAGAATGAAAAGAAGAAGAAGAAGAAGAAGAATGAAAAGAAGAAGAATGAAAAGAAGAATGAAAAGAAGAATGAAGAAGAATGATAAGAAGATTCTTCTTCTTCTTCTTTTCATTCTTCTTTTCATTCTTCTTCTTCTTCTTCTTTTCATTCTTCTTTTCATTCTTCTCATTCTTCTTTTCATTCTTCTCATTCTTCTTTTCATTCTTCTTCTCATTCTTCTTTTCATTCTTCTTCTTCTTTTCATTCTTCTTTTCATTCTTCTCATTCTTCTTTTCATTCTTCTTTTCATTCTTCTTCTTCATTCTTCTTTTCATTCTTCTTTCTTCTTTTTTCATTCTTTTTTCATTCTTCTCATTCTTCTTTTCATTCTTCTTTTCATTCTTCTTTTCTTCTTCTTTCTTCTTCATTCTTCTTCTTCTTCATTCTTCTTTTCTTCTTCTTCTTCATTCTTCTTTTCATTCTTCTCATTCTTCTTTTCATTCTTCTTCTCATTCTTCTTTTCATTCTTCTTTTCATTCTTCTTTTCATTCTTCTTCTTCTTTTCATTCTTCTTCTTTTCATTCTTCTTTCTTCATTCTCTTTCATTCTTCTTCTCATTCTTCTTTTCATGAAGAAGAAAAGAAGAATGAGAAGAATGAAAAGAAGAATGAAAAGAAGAAGAAGAATGAAAAGAAGAATGAAGAATGAAGAAGAATGAAAAGAAGAATGAGAAGAATGAAAAGAAGAATGAAAAGAAGAAGTATTCCAGTACAGCAAAAAGTGTATCTGCAGAGAGCTCCGCTATTTCTGACAGTTCTCTGACAGTTCCTTCACATTTACAGCGGTTGAAACATTGTATCTATTTCCGAATAAAAACATCTGTATCCTAAATGGAAACAAATAGATACAATGTTTCAACCGCTGTACATGTGAAGGAACTGTCAGAGAACTGTCAGAAATAGCGGAGCTCTCTGCAGGGACACTTTTGCCGGCTGATCGGGAAAAATCCGATTCGCGCACCCGAAGTATGATAATATTCGGATTCGCCGCGAATCGAATTTTTCCTGAAATTCGAAACGAATTCCACTTCACCTGGTTCGATTCGCTCATCTCTAATAATTAACAAATCAATTTATTTGGAAACAGCAATATTATACTTGGAGGCACTAAGGGCAATCAGTTAAATTGTTACTAAACCCCCGGACCCTGCATTCACTATATCTGGTCTCCACGGACCCTGCATTCACTATATCTGGTCTCCCCAGACCCTGCATTCACTATATCTGGTCTCCCAGGATCCTGCATCCACTATATCTGGTCTCCCCGGACCCTGCATTCACTATATATGGTCTCCACGGACCCTGCATTCACTATATCTGGTCTCCCCAGACCCTGCATTCACTATATCTGGTCTCCCAGGATCCTGCATTCACTATATCTGGTCTCCCCGGACCCTGCATTCACTATATCTGGTCTCCCCGGACCTGCAGTCACTATATCTGGTCTCCCCGAACCCTGCATTCACTATATATGGTCTCCACGGACCCTGCATTCGCTATATCTGGTCTCCCCAGACCCTGCATTCACTATATCTGGTCTCCCCGGACTCCTCATTCACTATATCTGGTCTCCCTGGACCCTGCATTCACTATATCTGGTCTCCCAGGATCCTACATTCACTATATATCTGGTCTCCCCGGACCCTGCATTCACTATATCTGGTCTCCCCGGACCCTGCAGTCACTATATCCGGTCTCCCCGAACCCTGCATCCACTATATCCGGTCTCCCAAGACCCTGCATTCACTATATCTGGTCTTCCCGGACCCTGCATTCTCAATATCTGGTCTCCCCGGACCCTGAATTCACTACCCTGCATTCACTATATCTGGTCTCTCTCAGGACCCTGCATTCACTATATCTGGTCTCTCCCCAGGATCCTGCATTCACTATATCTGGTCTCCCCGGACCCTGCATTCACTATATCTGGTCTCCCCCCGGACCTGCAGTCACTATATTCTGGTCTCCCCGGACCCTGCATTCACTATATATGGTCTCCACGGACCCTGCATTCACTATATATGGTCTCCACGGACCCTGCATTCACTATATCTGGTCTCCCCAGACCCTGCATTCACTATATCTGGTCTCCCCGGACCCTCATTCACTATATCTGGTCTCCCTGGACCCTGCATTCACTATATCTGGTCTCCCAGGATCCTGCATTCACTATATGGTGGTCTCCCCGGACCCTGCATTCACTATATCTGGTCTCCCCGAACCCTGCAGTCACTATATCCGTCTCCCCGGACCCTGCATCCACTATATCCGGTCTCCCAAGACCTTGCATTCACTCTATCTGGTCTTCCCGGACCCTGCATTCACAATATCTGGTCTCCTCGGACCCTGAATTCACTATATCTGGTCTCTCTGGACCCTGCATTCACTATATCTGGTCTCTCAGGATCCCTGCATTCACTATATCTGGTCTCCCCAGGACCCTGCATTCACTATATCTGGTCTCCCCAGACCCTGCATTCACTATATCTGGTCTCCCCGGACCCTGCATTCACTATATCTGGTCTCCCTGGACCCTGCATTCACTATATCTGGTCACCCCTGACCCTGCATTCACTATATATGGTCTCACGGACCCTGCATTCACTATATCTGGTCTCCCCCAGACCCTGCATTCACTATATCTGGTCTCCCCAGACCCTGCATTCACTATATCTAGGTCTCTCCCCCGGACCCTGCATTCACTATATCTGGTCTCCCCGGACCCTGCATTCACTATATCTGGTCTCCCCGGACCCTGCATTCACTATATATGGTCTCCACCAGGACCCTGCATTCACTATATATGGTCTCCACGGACCCTGCATTCACTATATCTGGTCTCCACAGGACCCTGCATTCACTATATCTGGTCTCCCCGGACCCCTCATTCACTATATCTGGTCTCCCCGGACCCTGCATGCATTCACTATATCTGGTCTCCCCCGACCCTGCATTCACTATATCTGGTCTCCCCGGACCCTGCATTCACTATATCTGGTCTCCCGGACCCTGCATTCACTATATCCGGTCTCCCAAGACCCTGCATTCACTATATCTGGTCTTCCCCGGACCCTGCATTCACTATATCTGGTCTCCCAGGATCCTGCATTCACTATATCTGGTCTCCCTGGACCCTGCATTCACTATATCTGGTCTCCCCGGACCCTGCATTCACTATATCGGTCTCCCCGGACCCTGCATCCACTATATCCGGTCTCCCAAGACCCTGCATTCACTATATCTGGTCTCCCCGGACCCTGCATTCACTATATCTGGTCTCCCCGGACCCTGCATTCACTATATCTGGTCTCCCCGGACCCTGCATTCACACTATATCTGGTCTCCCCCTGGACCCTGCATTCACTATATCTGGTCTCCCCATACCCTGCATTCACTATATCTGGTCTCCCCCGGACCCTGCATTCACTATATCTGGTCTCCCAGGACCCTGCATTCACTATATCTGGTCTCCCCGGACCCTGCATTCACTATATCTGGTCTCCCCAAGACCCTGCATTCACTATATCTGGTCTCCCCGGACCCTGCATTCACTATATCTGGTCTCCCCGGACCCTGCATTCACTATATCTGGTCTCTCCCCGGACCCTGCATTCACTATATCTGGTCTCCCAGGACCCTGCATTCACTATATCTGGTCTCCCCCTGCATTCACTATATCTGGTCCCCCAGACCCATTCACTACTATATCTGGTCTCCCCTGGACCCTGCATTCACTATATCTGGTCTCCCCTATATATGACCCTGCATTCACTATATCTGGTCTCCCCTGGACCCCCTGCATTCACTATATATCTGGTCTCCCCCTGGACCCTGCATTCACTATATCTGGTCTCCCACGGACCCTGCATTCACTATATCTGGTCTCCCCTGACCCTGCATTCACTATATCTGGTCTCCCGGACCCTGCATTCACTATATCTGGTCTCCCCGGACCCTGCATTCACTATATCCCCGGTCTCCCACTATATCTGGTCTCCCCGGACCCTGCATTCACTATATCTGGTCTCCCCTCCAGGACCCTGCATTCACTATATCTGGTCTCCCCGGACCCTGCATTCACTATATCTGGTCTCCCAGGACCCTGCATTCACTATATCTGGTCTCCCCGGACCCTGCATTCACTATATCTGGTCTCCCCCGACCCTGCATTCCCTGCTCCCCGGACCCTGCATCACTATATCTGGTCTCCCCCGGACCCTGCATTCACTATATCTGTCTCCCCGGACCCTGCATTCACTATATCTGGTCTCCCCGGACCCTGCATTCACTATATCTGGTCTCCCCGACCCTGCATTCACTATATATCTGGTCTCCCGGACCCTGCATTCACTATATCTGGTCTCCCCGGACCCTGCATTCACTATATCTGGTCTCCCATTCACTATATCTGACCCCTCATTCACTATATCTGGTCTCCCCGGACCCTGCATTCACTATATCTGGTCTCCCCGGACCCTGCATTCACTATATCTGGTCTCCCCCCGTCTCCCTCCCGACCCTGCATTCATTCTCCCTATTCACCGGACCCTGCATTCACTATATCTGGTCTCCCCGGACCCTGCATTCACTATATCTGGTCTCCCGGACCCTGCATTCACTATATCTGGTCTCCCCGGACCCTGCATCCACTATATCTGGTCTCCCCGGACCCTGCATTCACTATATCTGGTCTCCCCTGACCCTGCATTCACTATATCTGGTCTCCACGGACCCTGCATTCACTATATCTGGTCTCCCCGGGTCCCCTGCATTCACTATATCTGGTCTCCCCGGACCCTGCATTCACTATATCTGGTCTCTGGTCCCCTGGACCCTGCATTCACTATATATGGTCTCCCTGGACCCTGCATTCACTATATATCTGGTCTCCACGGACCCTGCATTCACTATATCTGGTCTCCCCTCCACGGACCCTGCATTCACTATATCTGTCTCCCAGGACCCTGCATTCACTATATCACTATCTCCCCCCGGACCCTGCATTCACTATATCTGGTCTCCCTGGACCCTGCATTCACTATATAGGGTCTCCATGGACCCTGCATTCACTATATCTGGTCTCCACGGACCCTGCATTCACTATATCTGGTCTCCCCGGACCCTGGTCCCTGGGATACTAGTTGCTTAATTTATATTTATATATCATGGTCTTTCTTAGGCTCATTTTTGTCTTGGTACTATTAATCCGAAGATAGCTGAACTAGTATACAGAGGTTGTAGATCACCAACTGGCACTCCTGTTTGACATCTTTACCTGCAGACAGGGGCGGACATGAGATGCCCCTGGTACCTTTTTCATAGGCTTTTTTGAGTTTGGGCAAGGACACAGGGGCCCCATGATCCCCTATTGCCCGGGGGCCCCATGAGTTGTCAGTCCGCCCCTGCCTGCGGACCATTTAGGGAGTCTCGTGGGTCTCTCGCCTGTCCATAGCCTGGTCTATGCACCCCCATACCAGACAGTTGGAAGCCACCTCTCTGTGTTGGCCTGAAGAGTCCTGGATTTCCTCTAGGGAGTCCATTGTTACACAGTGCACACTGGCTAACTATGTAAGTGGTTTCAAATGTTTTGTATGTTGTCATTTTTGCCTAAAATTATATGTACATATAAGTCTTTTTATCATTCCAAGATACATTTCTAGCCCCTGAAGAAGCGACTTGAAGAAACATGTCGGGCATTTATTGCACAGCTTGAATATCCCCTACCTTCTGAAAGAAATATCCTGTTCTCACCATCTGTACTCAGCACCTTGTTGGAACCAGTTCTCTATGGTTGGTTGGTTGTGGGATATTAGTTGTGGGTTAGTTGTGCAATGTAACTATACACAGGATATATTTTAGAGGTGATATATTAATAAAGAAACATTGATTTTTATTATTTTTTTGTGTACTGAGTCTCTGTGCCTAAAAAGTCCACTCAATATCCTTTTCTCCCTTCCCCTAACAACCAATCTTCTCAGCACAACTAATTTTGGCTAAAGGTGGAGGTTGAGGGTGTAACTACCAATCATGGGGCCCCATAGCAAAGTTGTGCTGCCCCCCCCCCCCCAGTGACCTCATTATGTGGCACATGGCAGTGCCAACTGTAAAAGCACTTTGACTGGTCTTAAAGTATGGCTGAATCAAGGACAGGTAATAGGACACTAGTAGGGAGCAGTGATATGGATGTAAGCTGTCAGGGAATAGGGAGCAGCAGTGCAGGGAATTAACTTTTAACCTTCATTTTCCAGCTAAATACTCCATTCTCAGTAGCTCACTGGCCTTCTTCTGCATTCCAGATCTCAGTGTCTTAGTGTGATTCTAAGTCCTTCCACCCGATCAACCCCACATAAAGCAAGTACTGAAAGAGCTGGACTAGTAGTCAGTAATAATAATAATCCTTTGTGTGATTACATCGTGATTACATCGTGACTACTTCATTACCCCAACACAATTCTTTGTATATTACAAACTGTTTTTTTCAGAACTACAAATCTTAGCTGTCTTATCAGGTTATTAGCTAAGGGCACACTTTGGGATTTTAAAACTTGGGGAAAACTGTTTTCGACATATCAGGTTCATTCTGTAATGCTGGGCTGCAGCAGAAATTCTGAGGGCAATACATTTATACTGCTAAGATAGCAGGATCTGTGACCAGCGATAATCCTGAAGATTCCTCCAGTGCATGTCAGCTCTTCTAGACTATAGACTTCTTGTCAACATCCTCCCTACTGGGGCCCTTCAACCACCCCAGGCTCCATAAGAGCCATGTGGGCTACAATGCCTTTGTTACACCAATGGCTCAGAGCTCACGCGGCCCTCAACTCTTCTAAAAGTATTACAGTGAAGGACTGGAAATCACTAAGAATCTCCTCACATGTTGCAGGAACCTTTACCTAAAGCGGACCTTCACCCTAAAGGTTATATCATGCTTCCCTGCCTCCCCCCCCTACAACTGGCCATTATTTTTTTTATTAACTAACTCATTTATTTGTCAGCAGTTTTGAATGCCTTGCCTAGGTAAAAAATATGTTTTTGACACCCTGCCCCCCTGCACGTTGTGCAGATTTGCCTCAGGGACTGAGAGAGCCCTGCAGCACACTTGCCTATGCACTGGTTTTCCCTGACCATCTGCCCAAAGACAGCTATCAGAGAAGTCTCAGGCTCCATGCACACTAGCTTAAAAAAAAACACTAGTACTATTGGCAGGAAAAAAACGCTAATTTTGAGCATTTCTAGTATTAGCATTTACAAGCGTATAGGAATGTTTAACGTTTTTTTCTTCCAGAAAAGCGCTCTGAAAATTGCGAAACCAAGGTTTTTTTTCTGCCTCTAAATGCTGGGCCTAAAAAACTCCTCTAGACTACCTAATGTGCATGGACACATAGGATAACATTAGTTGCTTCTACAGGCAGGGCTAAACTCCTCCAGGAGCAGCGTTTTTTAAAGCCAGTGAGCATGGGGCCGCAAGGCTTCTCCATCTCTGCACATGCACAGAAAATCACCAGCGCATGCGCATATGTGCTTTTTCCAGGATCAGAAAGCTGGACAAAGG